GATCTGATATTGTAAAATGATTTTTTTTATATGTTGCGCACCGGGTGAAGAATAAGTCGTGTAACATCGACGGTTCCTCCTGTTGAATTGAAATCTGTAAAAATAGTAACAATTAAGCACGTGATCGTGTAAATAACATAAAAATCAACATTCCTGACTATGTAAAGTTAATTTTATTAAGCTAACATCTTGTGAGCTCCTAATAAAAATTGTAAAGCTAGTTTTTGTGATTCTAAAATAGTTAGACCAATAAAATTAGTTGCAATTTAAATATAAAACTATAGGAATCACGATGCCTGTATTAAGATATTGTATTATGCTTTATTATAAAAATTCTCCTTGACTGATATTCTCGTTTATTCGTGAATCATCAATTAATAACCAATTACTATCTAATACTGTAATATAGTTTAAGTATTTCAATGATTGCGGTTTGCAAAATTATGTGAAATTTTCGATTCCTTCAACATTTTTTTTTTTGTCATTTGTTAAATTTGATTGAATATTTTAATGCGTAACTCCTATTTCTACAAATATATCACAAAATGATAAGTATTCACCTTTTAATTTTATAAAAAATAATCAAATAATATATGCGCAAATTTTGTTTAATCTAAAAATTAAAAAAATGTTGAAAAAATCGAAAATCAGTAATTACTTTTTTCTAATGATCTTAGACAATTTTTGAGACATAGAATCTTGATGTTGAATACTGCCTATTAAATTTGCGATAAATTACAAAAAAAAAACTAAATATAAAAATTTTAATTAATAAATATGTAGTTATTTTAATTAATACTAAATGCTTAAATTAATAAACCGTGTACACTAATCTGTTAAAATCGATATAGATAATAAATTAAATCAAATTAATGAATTTATTTAATAATATTCACGGAAATGAAATATATTTTTAAATGATTATTATATGGTCTATAGAAAACTTTACCACGAATTTTAAAAAGTAAATTGGTTTAAGACTTAAGTAGAGGTTAGGGTTTTTTAAAGTGCTGAATATTTTTACTTAGTATATCAAATATCGATTAACAATAACTAATATAATAAAATCTATTTATTTTAAATAATTAATATTACATAATTACGTACTTTTAATTCTAATTTTAACTATACACTTATAGCAAAAATAGACAATTTTTATTGATATATATACGTATTAAATCATATAAATAAAATTTTTCAATAAAATTTTAAATAATTACTAAGTATACGTATATCATTTATAATATTGTATTAAAATACAAGTATTTTTTCATGATTTAGATTTTGTATTCTTCATAAATAAAAAATAAACAGTGTTTATAAATCAATATTATTTTAATTTTTAGATAATTATGGCAAATTACGTAACTCGTGTAAAAAATATGTATCCAAACAAAAAATCACACGATCAAATTAAGTTTATTATAGGTGACACCTCTGGAAAAGTTTCCAGAAGTGCATGGAATTACAGTTTAAAAATAAATTATTTTATGATGACTACTTAACTACGATTTATGAATTGTTAACTATAAATTGCTCTATCAGAATGTGCACGAATTATTGTAAAAGACTAAGCCGTACTACTTCAAGGAACTCTAATATATAGAATAGTCATGATTATACCAAAAAAAACTTGGTAAATTCCTTGGCATTGTATGAATCATAATAAAGTCGGACTCCATAATGCATCATATGAGCTAAACAATGAAACAGAAATTACCATAATACCTTAAAATTTTCAGTCGTGAAGATAACAATATTCTTCATGCAAAATAATCATTAAACCAATCAAAAGAATTAGGCATGGGGGTTGTCGTACCTGAAGTTGCATTTGATTGAATTAGCCTCTAAAATTAGATCGTATTATACACATTAGCCGGTAATTTTAAGCAGTTGCAAGTGCTAGCTTCAGGCACGACAGGTTCAAATTAAATTTGGTGCCTCTATCTAAGGTCTTGTTCTGCCGATCAATTCGGTTTATAAGCGGCTTATTTACGTCATTCTCACACTAGTCGAACAATGGTTAATCGGGTATATGCCTTATTTTATAACTGATAGATACTTAATTGCTACGTATAAATTTGCATATTCACATCTGCCGATTGATGTCGATTTATGCTGCAAATCGATACATAATCAGTTTATCAAATAATTGGTTTAAAATCAGACAATCGATTTGTATCCAATTTTGTTATCCCATATGGAGACTTTCGTATAATTGGCTGTTTAAATCAATTTAATTTTACATTATTTATATTATTTATACAATTTAAAATACTTTTTAAACAAAAAAGAAGCTTATAAAAGGTTTTAGGGCTCAAACGTTAAAATAATAAAAATCATTTTTGGTTTTAGAAAAGTTAGCATAATAATGACTTTTTAAAAATAGATAGAATTAGGTTATTACCATGCTAACTTCTCTAAAACAACAAACAAAGGATTTTGATTATTTTTAATAGTGGTGTCCTACAACCATAATAAAACCTTCTATATACTTCTTTTTTGTTTATTCTTCGTAGTTTTATTTTTTTTAAAAAGTACTTTATAAATAATGTAAAATTAAATTGATTTAAACAGCCAATCGTACGAAAGTCTTCCTACAGACCTGTATCAGTTAGGGATCTTAATCGGTCCTGCAGTAATTGATAGCCGACTTTGAACAGATTTGTAAAAAAATTGGTATTTTTGACTAGTATTCGTTCAATAAGTAAGTTATAAAAAAGTTATTTCTCTATTAACAGTTTCTAATAAAATTTTATCGGTTTTGCATTATTTTCTGAGTAATCTAGATGAGATCAATTGGGAACAGATCAACAAAATTTTCTCTACACTGTTCAGTCCCTAATCGGTCCCATCTAAATTACTCAGAAACTAATGCAAAAACTGATAGAATTCTATTAGAGACCGTTATAAAAAATTGCTTTTCTATGATATTACTTATGGAACGAATACTAGTACTAGTTAAAAATATCAATTTTCTACAAATCTTGCTCAGTCAACTGATAATTACTGCCACCGCATAAGTCATGTAGGGTCATGTAGTAACAGTACTTAATCTTACCTGTTTGTGTAAAGCACAATTTCCAAACCCCTACCCTTACCCTAGGTCCAAGGTTGGCAATAGGGCTCAACGGAGCCCAATGGAGCAGCAAATGGAGCCAATGGATACTAGTTTTTTTGAGCACCATTCACGTAACCATAGAGCTCCATTAACTCCATTGTCAACCCTGCCTAGGTTTAGAAATCAATACCTTAGCCTAGCTTTCGTGTTCCTACCCACGGGTGTCCACGGATAGTTCACGCTGAAAACTAGCTACACACAGGCCTAGGACGGGTAGTAAGAATGTAGCAGTACACTAACCATGGCTGTTTGTGTAAGAGCTCAATTTTCAAGCCTTTACCTTATCTAGAGTCAAAAATCGATGTTTCAGGAACACGTAAGTTAGGCGAGGCTTTTTAGTGCGATTCGTGAAAAACTACATCAAATCACATAATATTAATTATTATATATTAATTTATGTGAAAATGATGGCTCTCACCGAACTTAAATCACAATAAATCATCGTAAATCACATAAATTCCGTGCCCCTGAGATGCCCTAACTCGGATTTTGTAAGCTTACTCATGGGTATCTATGGGTAACCCAAGCCCATGTAGATGCCTAATAATAAGTCTGCATATACAGCCCATGTATTCTATGCATAGCATAGTTTGGTCCAAACTATAAAAGCTTTACACATTTTGCTTTCTATAAATGCACATCTCTGAATGGATCCAAGGAGAGTGCACTGACTGAATTGACCAATTAAAACATGTTCAGCAGGAAATTGTGACTTGAGTACTGAAATAAAAATTTTACATTAACATATTAACTACAATAAATCTAATCTATTTTTACTACAATATAAATACAGAACAAACTATAATCACCGAACTCCTTATCGTTAATCATTCCAACTTAAACAACAGATAATTCTTCAAACAGTTATACTGTGAATCGTCTAATCCTCCACAATAACAACCAAGTAGAAATAAACAAACTTAATAAACATGCAAAGAAGCTAACGTAAAATGCATCTTTATAACATTCGTAACCTACACATTTGTCTCGACGAGTATCAAAGTTATAACCAAAAATAAAGTTAAATAATTGACCTCCAAATGCTGGGTACTATTTGAATAAGTAAATAAATAAATAAACAATGTTATGATGATAAAATGAAAAGACAAAAAGGACTGTACTTACAATCGATATAATACCCCTTTATTGTATAATAAATTGGTGATTATGTAAAGAACAATTTGATTCAAAATATTAAATTCATGGATACAAGTCGAAGAAACATTAATGCTTTTTTTTTTTTACTCACCAATTAATACCAAATCTTCTCGGGCCAAACCATTCATTGGTTATTGTCGGTGCAATACTAAACGTCATTCCAAATCCCATTCCAATAATAATTGACACAGGATATAAAGCATTCAACGATTTGACCCAAAATCCAGCCAAAAACTGACCAAACAACATGAGACACCCAGATACAATAAAAAACGATATTCTTCGAAGGTTAAACATACGCTTTGTGATATCAGAAAAGAACCCCACGAAAATACGGCCAAAACACGAGGAAATAGAAAGAATTGAAACGTGTAGGTTCTGAAATTCTTGAATATCCGCAAGGGCGTTTTTTCTGGGATTTTGAGGTGTTGGATTCGATGACGGAAGGGAATATAGTGATTTTATTATTGCCCCAGCGTTATTAATATACATCAGTCCACATCCACCAAGCAAGAACATTAAGATACCTAAAAGTAAAGCATCATGATTGTAAAATAATTCCCATCCTCCTATATCAGGTTCATCATAAGAAACTTTAACATCTAATAAAGGGGTTTGTTCATTGTTTTGATCACTGGATGATGAAGATTCAGGATGATCAGAAATTTGATCAACTTCTTCAGCATTAAGCTTAGTATTTTGTGAACGAGGTATGATTACCAAGAACCAGCCGCCTATGAATATAGACAGACCACTTGCTATAGCAAGAAATAATAGAAAATGGTACGTATCGTTTTTAAAATATAGGCTGTTCACTTGAGCGAATAAGAAAGCGGATAGACCATATAATGCTACGGGAAAACCAAATGCAATTCCACGATTTTTTGTAAAATTTCTAGCCTAAAAATTATTAACATTAATTTTGAACTATCAGTTCTAATTACAAACAAAAAGTTTTCTTAAACCTACGACAAGTCCAAGAACCGCATTGTAGGCTATGAACAAATTTAAGAAAAAAAAAAGGGGGGTAAATATTATGATTAAATACGATAAAGTGGTTTATAGGTATACCTCCAGACGACGCAATTCCAACCATAATCAAATATAAAGCACATAGAAGAAAGGATTTTGAATTAAAAATTTCTTCATACGTCATCGCTAAAAAAAAATATCCAGCAAAAATAAAGAAGGAAGAGAGAACAGCAGTCCTAAATACCAATATTAATCCATAAATATTATTTTAAGTGACATACTTAAAAATATAATTTTTCAAATAACATTTAAATTACACGTCCTTAACAATGATTTTTTACCTTCTTGAACCATGGTGATCAACTATATAACCAAAAATTGGACCAGTCAAATAACAACCATAATTAGCCGCACTTCCAATGGTATTTATTTGAACAGAGCTAAACTTTAATTTGCTGGCCAGTGTAGTGCTATATGCTGAAAAAAGGTATTGCGTTCCACATACGGAGGCAGCAAGAAGTGCTCCAAGATATGACAACGCGAGCTTTGTATATAAGTAATTCATTTTTGTTATTTAAGTTCCCTCCAAATTTTAACGTTAAATACGAAATTTTTGGCGATCTTTACTTATTCGGTTCTCTGCACATTTTTATACATATCAAATATTTGATATATGTATAGATAGATATACATCATATATTAAAAAAATTGTCAAAATGATATAAATATTTAGTGTCACATAACGATAACAGATCAGTTCAGTTTACTTAATTGGTAATTTTCACAGACTTTCCCTACTAGTTTTCTCCCTACATCATTTGTAATCACGACATCCATGCTTTTATATCCCTTTATATCTCTTTACATAGTAATTGATAAGTACGTATCTTTCGTCAAATTTGGCTTCGTATGACGAACATGGTTTTATCTTACTTAGTAAGTTGTGCAAAATATTATGACAGTACTGATCCTTATGGATAAAAAAAAATTCTTATTTAGTTCCTGATCTTAACTTTTTCATGTACTTTGCTATAGTAGTACTGTAGTATAGTATTTTTAGAGCCCTTTTTTTAGAACCCTATCAGGAACGGTATGTAAAACAGACGATCCATCAGGAATGGTATTTTTGCACTCTAACTGTCTGATCTAAAAAACTTCGTGTGTGGCGCAGAAAAATCAACAAAAAAATCGGCCATAACTCGACATTTTACCTATGAAACCGCCTTCTGCGCACTAATAAAAAGGTTCCTTGGGAAATTTTGGTATTAATAAAGTCTTTTCTAACCTAACTTAATAGCAATCTCTAATATTAATTTAGTTGCAAAAAAAATTTTTACTGAAATTTTTAAGTTGGTGTTAAGAAAATCTCGGGCTGAAGTCACTTCCAACCCTATCCGGATCCAATAAAATCACAGAATCTTGTGTAACAAACCAAACACGAAAAATATAAGAAATTGTAAAAAAACGCAAATAACACAAAAATTTACTATAATAACTAATTTTTGATTTTTAAGTAAATAAAATTTTACTTATAAAACATAATTAATAATGTTAGATATATAGAGAATTTTTGAGATACTATACTTATATTTTCTTAACAGCAGCTTGAGATTTTCTTAATATAAGATATTTATGCTAAAGTTTATTTTGTTGAGATTTTGATTTTAGACCTAATTTGTATTTCAATATTTTGTAAAATATTAAAAAATAAAAAGAATTAAAAATATTTATTATTTTTTTTATTAATGAATTGGATTTACTTTTTTTTTTAATTTTAATAATAAGGTTATGCTTTTATCTTTATTGAATATTTAATTAAAATTTTTATATAAAACATAAATTTACTTTAAAAATATTATTAAAATAGTAAAAGCTTAAACTAATTTATCTGCAATTTAAACTTACAAAAGTAATTAAGGTTTATTTAGATCTAGATATTAGTAATTATATATAAATGATTTGTTTGATATTTGATCTATTACATATGTTAAAAATTGATTTTAAAGTTAATAGAATTAAATAAAGAAGTTAAAATAAGTGTGAAATAGAATTTAAAAATAAATTAAAAGTAGAAAAATAAGCTGTTAATTTTGAATTACAGTAAAAAATCTAAATTTTATAAAATATTATTTATAAAGTAAAAGTTTAATAACAAGTTTAAAACAATAAAAATAATTTTTTTTTAAATAATAAGCAATCAATTGCTTAACCAAATTAGTAATTTTTATTAATTAATAATATATATCTTAAGTACATCTATAGTTTATAAAAGCACAGCTAGTTATATGTTATTGTTCATTTAAAAGTTTTATTTTATTTTTTATTTTTTTTAAGTTAAAGTCCCTATCTTGGGAGTTGCGATGTTTTTATTCAAGTATATTAGAACACGGCATGCCACCA